TCTACAGGATTCAGAAAAGATTAATAAATTATGATCATCTCTTCCTTACAAGCAAAGGACTCTTCCCAAAGACAACAGATGGGCAACAAGAGAAGAAAGCATGTTGCAAATTTCCTGTCAACGTTCCTTTTGTGTGGAAATTATCTGTGTTTGCAAGGTATGCTTTATGAGACACATTGCCATCAAGGTTGTGAATGAATTATGGGAATCATGATGGACATAGCCATTGGCTTACAACTTCAAAAAGACAAATAGCAGCAGTAGGAGACACCTTTTCCTTGGAGCAGTGGGCTCTTGGCCACAGGTTTATCCTCAGGGCCACAACTCCAGCAGATATTGTGAATAGAGCACCCCTGCAAGTCTAGATCATTTGAACAACTTAAAGAATCTCATCTCTAATCAGAGGGTACTCTGAATGTTGCTTAGCGTTGTATTTCAGGGAGAATAAAAAGATAGTATAATCACTTGGCTGATTTTTTTCTCTTGGTTTCCTGAAGGTTTTTTGCTCTTTGGGGTCTAAAGGTATCTAAGTAAAGTCTGCCTCGATGCTTCTCAAACGATTGTGTAGTGTCATACCATTAAAAATTTTTTTCCAGTTTATTGTGGATAATTGTTAAAATATAATAAAAATAAATTAATCAGAAAATAAAATGGAAAAAAAAGAGGCACAAAATACAAATATGAATGTTTTATCAGTCAACAGGCATCAAGTTATTCTTTCAGTTGCTATAAAAGTTTCTCAATGCTTATTCCCACTTTCTGTACTTCTCTCATCATGGATGGGTGACAGATAACTGACGGGGCACATGCTGAGAAATCCTAGTCTAACACCGAGAAGAGACCCCTCTACTTGTAGAAGATCTTAAAATACCCAGCCACAAAAATAAAGAACACTATGTATCTTCCAGAGTCTGTAATGCACTTTGTTATAGAATTTGTAATTGCTGTACATATTCAAGATCAACTGCATACGGAGAGCAGTCATATTTTTATTCCCAGTTCTTAATCTTTCTCCCAAGTTCCACTCATGAAGGCCCAGCTCTCTGCCTGACACCTTCTTCAGTTGTTTTTCCAAGATTTCAACCCAATATGCCTCCCAAAGTGAATTCCTCATCTACCCAACAAACCCAATGTTCATACTTTATTGATGGCAATCTCCTTGCAGTCACGTAAAATGATCTTTGTCTCTCCCTCCTGCTTCCTTTAACTGCACCAACGCATTGCCAACGCTTGCCAAGTCCTATCGAGTCCTGCACCAACGCGCTGCCAAGATATTTATCATCCCAATATCTTTATTTTTATCGTCTTCACCCCAGGCCCTCGTATCTCTCATGGGGTTTATTTCCAGAGCCTCTCTACTGTTTCTGGGTTTACGCTCTCCCACGCATTAGCTTATTCTTTCTAAAGCTCAGCCCTGCTCAAGCCACTTCTCTGTCTAAAAACATTTAGTGGCTTCCCCAGTGTTTACTAAACAGAGTCTGGTATCCAAGGCTCCCCGGGGTTTCTCCCAATGCCTTTTCACAAGCACTGTCCTCCTAACAAATTGAATTCATTATGTGACATATAGTTGTGTACCTAAATGTCCTAAGAAAGGACATTTAAATTGCCTTGAGATTAGGAACCCATGAAAGTGGGTTATATGATGAAGCTAACATTTTTATTCATTCTTTTAATAAATTTTATTAAATGCCTTTTCATAAAATTGTCTAATTTATATTTGTTTATTGCACATGTTGTCTTAAGTGGCACAGGACAGAGTTTATAGTCCAAAAACGATGTAATATGTGACTAGGAGTCACAGTTTCTGTGCCAAGAAGCAGATGGTAATCACGGGTAACATTTATAAAGCATGTCTCTGTGTGTTGGGCACCTAAGATGTTATTGCAATTAATTTTTGGAACATCCCTCTGAGGCAAATATTATTATCACCTGGATTTTATCAAGGAGAAAAACCCCCAGTTTGGAAGACTGAATAAAACTGCCCAGAATTAAACAGCTAGCAAATGGTTTGAGATTGGAATCCAGCACTTCTGATTCCTGGGTGCACAAGCTCCCTCGGCCCCTGGGCTGCTTCAGACACGGATAAACTGAGAGGTAAGTCCCTGCATTCATTTTACTTCCAGCCAAGTTAATGAGCCCTGCAGGCAGTTACTGTAATATTTCCACACGAACCTGACTCTGACGGTGGAACTCAATCACTCAAAAATGCAACAGTTATATGCTAACAGCTATAACTTGTAAAAGATATAAATGCTTTCTGACCCCATGAAGTTTACAATCGATCAACATTCCTATATAGCTATTATCCGTCTATATACCTCCCTACCTTACCTACTATTAGAAATTCTTCTAGTTCCAGAACAAATTGAATAAGACCTTTTACAGATGATAACTGTGTAGTTCACACCAGAAGTGCAAAAAGTGGAGCAGAGGGTGGGCGAGACTGAAAGACAGCCTAAATGAGGGACACAGTGCAAATGAAATGCGTGGGGAGGCCAAGGTGAAGACAAAAGTGTGGGATCACGTATCTGGGAGTGCCAGAGGGCAAGGCGAAGCAGGAACTCAATACCTCCTGCCTGTGGTTCAGAGGAGGCAGCCAAGGTGCCCTGTGAATGAAGGAGGCAAGGCCCCTCTTCTGTGGGCCATTCATTTACCGAACCCACGGTTCAGAGATCAAAACTTGGGCTGCTATGCAGCGCCTCGGTGACAAAGAAAAGGCTCAGAATTGAAAGAAAGTTTGCACGCTTCCCCACTCAAATTAATTTCACTATTTTTAGTTTCCACAGAACAGTACGGAATCAGGATGTAACATGCATGGGTTTTCTTCAAATAGAAATGTGAATCCAGGTTTTCCTCTGTATCTGAGTGTACTGGTCTTACCACTGGATTTGTGTTTCTCAAGGGTTCACGTCCAGCTGTTTGAACGTCCCCATGCAAACTCTCCTACCTCCCCTTTTTGTCTTCCTACTACGGCATTAACCACCTCCCTCTCCCCATGTCCCTGGGCTTTGGAAAATGAAATACTCTATTTTAATATTAAGCAAGCAGTCTAATAATTCGTTGTCGCTATCTGCACACTGGCAGGTGAGGCTTGTACTTACATAATTTAAATCCATCACTGAATAATGTTTGTTTATTCAATGTTATAAATAGCCAACCGGGAAGTCCAAGAGGGGAAAAAAATACACTTCAAGCTGCAAAAGGTTGGTCGTATTGAAGGAAAAATCACCTTAATACTTTTTCCTTTCCTCTTGTCCCTTCATAAACTTTATAAGTGAAAAAGGGAATGAGGTATGAAAGGATGGGAATATGAGTATTTGTGTAGCTACAAAAGATCATGGTGCACTCGAGGGCTGTCTGAGGTCAGAGCATGGACGCACATCATCAAAAAGATCCTTGAATGCGCAGATCTGTGCATGTTATTTCTCATAGCAAGTATCTAAAATGCAATGTCTGTACTTTCAGTAAAACTGGATACATATACAAATGCAGAAGAGTCACTTCTGTATATAATGTCAAATACAGTGTTATTCAGAGTGTCTATTAAACATTTTTGAACAATACAAACAGGGACTAAGATGCTCAAGAATCGAAATCAACACTAGCTAGCTCTTTCACCGGCCACACTGAGTGCAGTGCCTGTTCGTAAAAAGCACTAAGACTAGATTTTAAAGTCAGCATGTAGAACTGTGTGCTCATAAAACATTAACTGTGTAAGTGTTAAAGGACTGGTAGCCCAAAACAAAGGCCTAATTCCTAAGGCATAGGTATTGTAGCAACTTATTCAAATTCAAATGCAATTGATTTTCTTTCTGGTGGGAATCAATATGTTAACACATTTTCTAATATGATGTTTCAAATGAAAAGAAACATCATAATGTTATTTAACAATTGATTTTAACACAGAGATGAATATCATGCAGAATTATAAAAATGCAGTTATTTAAATCATGAATGGGTTAGAATATGTTTTAATGCAATAGTTCTCCAATCTATTTCTGGGGGCAAGAGGTGAGGAAAAGCCTCTGTGCGGGCAGAAATCTCCTACCGTCATTGGGACCCTGTGGTGTGCCTTTGACCATTTCACTATTCTTTTGCAGGATTCAGAAAGCTGAACATTTCTGTACCCATTTAAGAATAGCTGTATGTTCTGCTCATTAAAAATCTCTTTAATTCTAAACTGCACATTTTGCAAGAGGAATGTTTCATCACTGCTCTTGATGGTGGAGGGATAGTGTGTGTGTGTGCGTGGGGGGAGGGGGCAGTGTTCCCCAATCCCAGGTGAAATGTTCCCATGAAGTCAGTCTGTTTCTGTACTACTTCAGGACGCTATGGCAATAACTCAGAAGCTCTAGGGTATATGATCAGAGGTGCCCTGAGTATTACAAATTCCATTTGTGTCAGATGATGTTATACATATGTAAATTAACTAGATGTCACACAAAGAAAACCCCATCCCACTTGGGATAAGAATTGTGACTGATCAGGGCGCATGGGTGGCTCAGTTGGTTAAGAATTGGGACTTATCTTTGAACACTAGGAAAGCGCAGTGTCTTGCCATTTCTTAAACTTATCGCTGCCAACATGTGTACTGGGTTACACTGCACATCTATGTGTCATATTCTGCACCAGAGAAAGGGACTTGAAGCCCCCTTTCAAAGTCCCTAAGGAAACCAGAGTGTCACACGATCTAAGTGAACGCTTCAGCTAGAAGAAAAACAAAATTCTGTCCTGTCCTTCAAGCCCTGCTTGGTCACCCCTCCCTCTCAGAGGGTAAACAGCAGAGGATTACCTTCAGAGAAACTGAGCAAAAGGCATGTCACAGCATATGTTTGAAAACACCAGGAAGCCAAGCAATAAGGACTCCGGAAAAGTTGCAAGGAGGCTGCGCAGGGGAAGTTACTGGAAGTGAAAACGGCAACTAGCGCCTGGCCAGGTGGGTGTGGAAGAGGAAGAAGGCGTCCTAACCACCACAGACAAGGACCCCCGCCGCTACTCACGCTTCCCCGCCGTCCTCCGAGTCGCTGTCCGAGGCCCACTCCTCGCCGATGTCCGGCAGGGTGAAGAACAGGGTCCTGGGGCCAGCCCCGGGGGGCATCCAAGCGCCGGGCTCTCGCTCTCCGGGGCCAGACTGGCGGGTGCCCCGTGGGCTCGCGGCTAGACCGCTGCCCCCGCCGGCGCCCCCGAGGGACGGCCGCGCAGCGCAGACCCCGCCGGGGCCCATGGGCGCCCGACCCCAGGTCACCAGGTGCGCGGGGGAGCCCGCCGCGCTGCACACGCTGCTGGCGGGGGCGGGGAGCGGGGGCTGCACTCTGGCTGCTCCGGGGCTACTGGGCAGCGAGAGGGGGGTCCCTGCTGCCGCTGCCGCTCGGCTCGCCACCGAGACCCGGGGGTGGGAGGCGGCGAGCGGTGCCCCTCGCGCGGCGGACGGGGAGCCGGGGGCCAGGGCGGGGAAGAGGTTCAGGGTCGCGGCCGTGCTGAGCGAGGCGCCAGCGCTGGAGCCCGTGCGCCCTGCGCTGGCAGCGCCTCCTGATGGGCTGGAGGAGGCCACCGGAGAGGGGACCGCCGGGGGCGCCGTCGAGGTCTTGAAGATTTTGGCAAAGAGCGACCCCAGGTCCAACACAGCGACCTTCATGTCCCAGTCTCGGAAAGGCGGTCCCCGCAGCTGCCTGAACCTCCAGAGCGCAGGAATCGGGACTGCTGGGCTCCATCCACTGCCGCGCTCAGGGGCCCGGCCCCGGCTGCCCTGGGCGGAGGCGGGGGTCCTGGGGTCCCCGCACGCCGCCGCGTCCCGCGGGCCCTTGGCACTCTGTCCACGAGAAGTCCCTCCCGGCGCTCAGCTCCGCACCGCTTTAGACTGACCGTCCCCGACAGCCTGGTCCGCCCGCAGAGTGCCGAGGCCACCGTCAGCGGGGAGCAGTCCCTTCTCTGCGAGTACCCCAAGACCCCGGAGGCCAAAGGTCCCGGAGCGCACGGAGGCCGAGCGCCGCCAGCGCCACCGCAGGCTTGTAGGTGAGGTGCGCCTCCGCCCGCCAGATACACCCCCACGGGCCCCCGAGACCGCGCTGGCGGTTGCTAAGCTAAACAAAAACCCTGCTTAGCTCATTGCTAATTGGGCCCCAGACTGCGGTGGCTTGGGGCTGTGGCCACAATAGACACACTGGCTCCCCTCCTTGATTCGCGCCTTAAAGGAACATCGCAATTTCTCCATCATCCTGGTTCCAAAAGATCTTGGGCTTGTCTAGCCTGATGAGACCAAATGTGCCAGGGTCAAGGAGCCGGCCAGTTCTCTGATCTGAGGGACCAGAAAGTATAAAGGGGGATTCAGGGGAGTGGACTTGAAACAGCAGTGCCAACCAATGCCCCCTGCCTCAGAGCCATGGTCAAAGTGTGTCATTGAAGATGACATAGGGGAGCAAGAGAACTTGGAGAAGAGACTGGGCCCTGATCATAAAATCCATATACAATGTGTGTGTTCAAAACATCTATTGGAGTGCGCCGAAAGATTTTAGAACTAAAATGTTGGAGCACTCAAACTATGATCAGACTGCTTGGATACACTTCTTATTAAGTGGAATACATTGCATTTTACTAAATCTGAAGAAATACGTGTGAATGACAATTATAAGTGTGAATATCAGCAGGAGTGTGGGGTCGATTTTGAGGGAGATTTAAAAAAAAGATATTGATGGTTTATCCATTAATGTTTAGTGAAGAGTTTCTGTTTTGATGTCAGGAGGTATATTTTCTGATTACAGGTGAAGAAAAGAGATGAATAAGTCTGGTAGTGAGTAAGTTAACTGATATTCATGACTTTATACATTAGTCTTTTGCAAGTTAAAAAAAAACTGGATTCTGAACCATGGAACATTTCTATAGTAATGCAAGCTTTTTGTTGTCGTGAAGACAGCCGGCCAGACTTCTACTTACGATATTCACATCTTGTCCTGAGCCCTTTTCTGAATCCACCTACCATGGACAAACATATACTGTGCACCTTCCTAACTCAAGATTGTGTTAGGCATGGAGATGTAAAAGAAAAAAAAGAGAGATGTTCTCTGCCCACAGTGTAGAGTAATCAGCTTCATATTACATGTTAAGTATAAGGTGAGTGTCCCAGAAAACAAGGCAGGCACATAGTCCACATTAGCTCGAGGAAAGAAGAACACATAAGTGCTTAAGAGAAGTAAGAGACAAGGCAGATAAGGGTCAGATTATAAAGGGCCTTGAATGTTGGGAGGGGGAAGAGCATGCAGTCGTCAGCATGTAAAGCGCCAGCACATGGTGAAGAATGAAGGAAAGACAGAAAAGTGGCAGACACGTCTAGTGGAAACCAGAGGCAGAGGTCTCAGGGTCCAGCCAAGCAAGCTGCACGTGCTGTGTCATCATGCAAGGACCCCAGAGGCATCATGGCTGGGGACCATCAACATCTCTACTATTCTCATTGTTGTTCTTTTGTAGCAACTCATCAGATGGCCTCAGAGGTACGTGAGGTCCATCAGAACATTCAACAGTTTCTCTTTTCGTTCAGCTCTCATTCAAGATCATAGATCTGTTTCCTAAAGATTTTCGGTTTGTTGGGGCGCCTGGGTGGCTCAGTCGGCCAATCGTCCAACTCTTGGTTTCAGCTCAGGGTATGATCTCACAGTTCATGAGTTTGAGCCCCATGTTGGGCTCTGCACTGGGATTGCACTTGGGATTCTCTCTCTCTCTCAAAATAAATGAATAAACATAAAAAACATTTTAGGAGATAAAGAAAAAGATTTTGTGTTTATTTCATAAGGATCTTGATTCTGGTTCATAGAACAATTAAATCTTGAATGCAAGTAGAGATTATTTCTAGAGCATGCACTTGCAGTGTTTAAGCTGTTAATCATCTTATTGAGGCTGAACATATGGACTGTAACTTGAAGGGAAGGCAGCAAAGGAGAGCCACTGCTGAGTGAAGTCTGATTCAAGCCACCCAGTTCCTGGGGAGCAGTATTTGTCTGCTGCCACATCTCAGAGTTCCTGATTCTTCAGACTCGGAAATCTGATCAGCCCAGGACCTTCACAGCTGACCAGCTGCATAGGATGGAGCCCCACTAACCTGACTCAAAAAATACTGGTGCAGAAGCCTGAGTTCAAATGTGATAACACATAATTACACAACTGTAGATTTGTCCTCTGCTCTTTCTCTACGAGAAGAATTCCTGTTAAGGCCAAATTAAGTTGAAAGATTGTTAGGTGGACATAGAACCAAAGAGAAGGTAGTAATTCATATATATGGCATATATAAAAATATTTTATGCACAGGGGACAGTAACTGTTAGAGCCAACACTTTTCTCCCTCTTAGAAAAACAACCTTATATAAACACTAGGACATTCACCCACCTGTCTCAGCTCTCTAACTTTAGATTTTTCTGTGCTTCCATTACTAACCACTTCCTTTCCATGCACATGTTTTTCTTTAAGTATATAGATACTGTTAATAAGTCTATAGAAAAGCTCGTACCCATCCAGAACCGGCTGAAAGTATTCTGCCTCTCAGGTGTATTTACATGCCTCCTGTCTTGGTTGGATCAAGTCCAAAAAAAGTCCTAACCCTCAGTTTGTGTGAAAGTGGCCTTATTTGGAAAGAGGGCCTTTACAGATGTAGTCAAGTTAAGACCAGGTCATTAGGAAGGACCCCAATTCAATATGGCTGCCATACTCTTAAGAGAGAAATTGGAATACAAACACATAGGGAGCACATCATGTGAGGACAGAGGCAGAGACTGGGGTGATGTAGCCACGAGCCAAAGAATGTCAAGGATTGAGAGCCACCACCAGAAGCTAGGAAGAGGTGAGGAAGATTCTTCCCTACAGGTCTCAGAGAGCCCTGCCAGCATCTAATATCAACTTCTAGTTTCCAGAACAATGACAGAATAAATTTCTGTTGTTTAAGCCACCCAGTTTGTGGCACTTTGTTATGGCAGCCCTAAGAATCTAAAACGTTTTTTGAGTATGAATTAATTATTGGGGTACTTCATGATACTTCACCATCATAGTATCTTTCTGGTATGTTTATGAACATCTTCAGTGGGGTGTTTGTTCTATAAAGCTGATTACAAATGCAAATCATGACTGTCTCAAATCTACAAGGAGAATGACAGGAATCTAGAAAGAATGGGGGAGGAAGTGACACTGTCAGTTAAAGCAGTGGATAAAATATTCTGGCCACCCAGCCTCATGAGGAAGGCACAATGAATGAATGATTGATCCTTTTGTTTGAAGGTCTTTTGAAAATGGCCTATAATTGCAAACACGGTAAACAATTCTTAGGAAGATGCTAGGTCATTTACACCCATTGTTCATCCATCAACAGTCTTTCAGACAGATGTTAGATGCTTCCAGGCCTCTCTGTTAATTACAACTCTCATAACATGAGCCCCAGGTAATGTACCCCACGGATCTAGTTCAGGCGTAGTAATGAAAGTAAATGCAGTAAATTATTGCTTCTAACCGTGGCAGTGGTGATTTTTAGGTAGACTTTATGTCAAAGCAGTGCTCTATGTGCTAAAACTCTTCTGATTATGTTGGCTAATTAAGAATTAGATGCATTGGTTTTCTGATGTGTATAATGATGCCTGGCTGCATCACTGAAAAAACATTAGAAAGTTATGACCATGTTGCTATGAAGAAATGTTATGTTTTGGAAACCTGCAAGTTAAAACAAATAACCTGAGTAATTAATCTGTTTAAGAATTTAAACTGCCATGGGGTGACTGAGTGGCTCAGTTGCTTAAGCTCTTGATTTTGGCTCAGGTCATGATTTCATGGTTCATGAGTTTGAGCCCCGCACTGGGCTCTGTGCTGTCAGCACAGAGATTCTCTCTCCGCCCCGCTCTCTCTCTCTAAATAAATAAATAAACATTTTAAAAAAATTTTTAAAAAGAATTTAAACTGCTTCCTTTAGCATAGCACCAAGGCCAGAACCTATAAAGAAAAAAATACAATCAGATTTGATAATAAAATTATTGAAAGCTCCTTAATAGTGAAAGACATTTGTTGGTTCAACAAATATTTACAAAGCACCACAATGGAGACAGTACTGTCCAGTAGACTCTGGAATGGGACTCTCTAGGTTCGGATTGTCTCTGCCATCCATCAACACCCAGGCTTCTTTCTGTCCTTAGTTTCCTCAGCTCTAATCCAGGGATGAAATGGTTCCTATCTGAAATAATGGCACTTTCTGAGCGTTATATTAATTCACACATGCTTGGTAACTGAAACAGAGCCTCACACAGGGTAAGCTCTCAGTAGATGTTAATTTGTTATTTTTTAACATTTATTTATTTTTGAGAGACAGAGCACGAGTGGGGGGAGGGGCAGAGGGAGAAGAAGACACAGAATCTGAAGCAGGATCCAGGCTCTGAGCTGTCAGTGTCAGTGCAGAGGCCAAAGCGGGGCTTGAACTCACAAGCCATGAGATGATGACTTGGGCCCAAGTCAGATGCTTAACTGACTAAGCCACTCAGCCCCGCCCCCCAAGATGTTAATTTTTATTATACATGATTTTATTACATGTGATTTTGTTTATGACATTAGTTTTTCTCATATAATCTCTGGTTACAATGAATAACCTGAGGAAAATCTGGAAGAAAGTTATAGCTACATTTACTTCCAAGTTTATTCACTTTTGTACTATTCGAATATTTTCAGTAAGTGTGTATTCTTTGTTTTTAGTGACAAACACAATCAAAGAAAACTAAACAGAAAATTGTCTTCGTATTTGATTAAGTGTTCTGGATTCTAGCACAGGAAAAATAGAACAAAAACAACTTTAAACTGAT